AAGATTCAAGGAGGGGCTGCAGCTCGCGCCTCTCCCTGGAATGTTGTATGAACTCACTCTAAATCTGCTTCTGAATTAATAAATTTATTATCATTTATAAAAAAAAAAAAACGCAGAGTATTTGCAGTAAACAGAGAAGTGTTTTCTCAACAAAAGATTTTCTAGCCCATACCCCAACCAAGGAAGTTGGCGAACACCAATCTGATGTCTAAAGAAAGACAAACAAGCCATTGGATGTGACTACGTCTTCCATTCTCCAAGGTCCAGGTACTTGTGTCAATACAGTTAGAAAGAAAGGAAGTGGAGAAAGGAAGGAAAATATTTTGAGGGGAGAGAAAAAAGGAGTGAGCCTAATGAACATCCTACAACTTTTGAAGGTGAATGTGACATGGGGGATGGGGACAAGAGATGATGGGATGGGGCATACAAATCAAATGGCTGAATTTGTGGAGAAGTTAGGGTATAAATTACAAGAGCCAAATGACAACAAAGTGTATTTGAGAAAGAACAAGGAGGGAGGTAAGCCAGTGTTTTAAAAGCGCAAGGGCCAATTTGCGCCTGAGGCGTAAGGTGCAAGGCTAGGCGCGCAAAATTACAAAAAAAATGCTAAAAATTAAAAAAAGTCAGAATACTCCAAAAAAATGCCAAAAAATTTTAAAAATATTAAAACATAATGTTAATAAAAATATAAACTTAAATTTTAAAATAAATGATTTAAAAAACCTATTATCTAAAATTAAAATACATAAATATAACATGTAAAGTGTATTCAAATGAAAATTTAAAAATAAAAGCAAACATATAAAGCATTTTCAAGCATGTAAAACCCAAAATCTCTTTTTTTCCTTAATTGCATTGCTTCAAGTAGTTAATGTGATGTAAAAGAATATTGCATTCTTGATTTTATGAGTCGCCTTTGTAGCACGCCCCTCGAGTCAAGCCCGAACAAGTCTATGTTAGGGTCTGAAATTCTTATTTCTCACATAAAAAATAATGATTTTACAACTTTCATTGCCTTTTAAGAAGCTATTTTATTGCAATGAATGAATGAACAACATAAGCAAATAGGGGGTTCTCGAAGCTTCAGTGAGCGAGCAAAGCGAGTGTTTTGAAAGAGGTGAGCTGTTAGACTCAAAAATGAGCGAGCGAACCGGGCTGTTAGACTCAAAAATGAGCAAGTGAACCGAACAACATAGGCCGGCGAAGCCCCCAACCCAGCCGTTAGACTCAAAAATGAGCAAAAAGCGCAAAATTTTAAAAAGCGCACCAGGCGCGCGCCTTTTGAAAGAGGTGCACCTGGGACCGAGGCAAGGCGCATACCCCAAAATGGCGCACCTTTTAAATCACTGAGGTAAGATTATAAAAAGGAAGTTGAGTGAAGTGGAAAGACTAAAAAAAGGATGTAGAGGGAGATATGGAGTTTAGTGGAAGAAAGGGAAGGGTGAGGGGTAACAAGTAGGAGAACCTTGGAAAGGGGTAACTTCTTGAGAAGAGGAATGAAAATTGTAAGTTGGAATGTTAAAGGATTAGAGAGGGCAAGGAAAAGATCCACTATTAAAGAGATGTGAGAAAGGAGAAGTTGGATATCATTTTAATTCAAGAATCTAAGGTGATGGAATTTAATAGAAAATGGGCTAGGAGTATTTGGAAAGCCAGGGGTTGGAGTTTGGTTGTGTGCCCTTCGCAGGGCGGCTGGTATTGTGACAATGTGGAAGAATGAGATTGTAATTGGAATGGAGGAGCTGGTGGGAAAACTTTCGGTCTTAGTTAAGTTAAAACATGTTTCAGATGGATTTGTGTGAGTGTTGTCAAATGATTATGGACCCAATGAATACAGGAAAGAAATAAGCTTTGGGAAGAATTGGAAGATATTAAGGAATTGGGGGATGGGCCATGGTGTATAGAAGGGGATTTTAATGTGACAAGATTTTTAAAAGAAACTAACAATCTGAGGAGAATAAATTTGAGCATGAGGATACTTAATCACGTCATTGATGCTTTTGGGCTAAAGGAACTACCTCTCTATTATAATAATTTTACTTGGTCCAATCCACAAGACAACCCAATTTGCTCCAAACTAGATTAGATTTTTATTCACAGTTGACTAGGAGGATGGATCACTAGAGGGGTCTAGTTCTAGAGACTTGCCAAGAGTGACTTCAGATCATTGTCCAATTTCCATTTTCGAGGAAAGCTTGGGTGGTAAAGGTCCACCTCCTTTCAGATTTGAGAATATGTGTTTATATGCTAGTGGATTTAAAGAGTTAAAGTTTGGTGGGAGGAGAGCAATCCATGTGTGAAGTGGGAAAGAATGAGGTTCCATTGGAAGTTGAAAGAGCTCAAAGGCAAGATCAAGGAATGGAACTTAAAACGGTATGAAAGGATGGAAAGGAAGTATTTGGCACATTGGAGGAAGGTGAGAGGAATGAAAGGTAGTGGAAGGAGTTGGAAGATCTTTTGTTGAAAAAGGAAATAAATTGGAGGCAAAAATCAAGGAGCAAGTGGATCAAGGGAGATAGGAACAACAAAACTTTTTCATGCATTGGAAAATGGGTGGAGAAAGAAGAATTTTGTCTCAAAGTTGGAGGTGAATGGAGTCAATGTTTGCCAACAAGTGAGATTGCTCAAGTCTTTGTAGAGCACTTCAAATCAATCTTTAGGAAGCCCCTAAATGACCAGATTTGGATTGATGGGTTGGAGTGGCCTAAGCTTTCAGAGGAGTCCCAGAGATGGCTGGAGAGAAGCTTTGATAGTGAAGAGTTCATGGATGTAATTTTTTCTATGAATAGGGCTAAAGCACCCGGCCTTGATGGTTTTGCTATGTCATTTTACCAAGATTGTTGGGAGATATTAAAAGATGACTTATTGAAGGTGTTTGAAGAATTTTTTGAAAGGGGTGCAATTAATCCAGGTCTAAATTCAACCTTCATTACTTTGATCCCGAAAAAAAGATGCACCCAAGCACTCATGGTTACTTGGCATCCTGACCTTTGAGTTACTTAAGTAATTTGATCATTTGTTTTCATTTTAATATTTGAATGTCTACAAAATTCAAATTCAAATTCAAATTATAAATTTTGAACCATATAATGATAATCTACACAAGTTACTCAATTTAATCAATAAAGATAATATAAGTTTTAAACTATATATTATGTTTATTAAAGATCAAGTTTTTAAAGAACATATTTCTTTTTCTTTTTTTTGAAGGGGGGAGTAAAGAAAGAACAAGTTCCACAAGTAAACCTTGGAACCACCAAGGCTAAAACCAACCCTCAAACCGACCTCCACAAGGTAGGTTCTGGTTCCAAAAACCTAGAACCAACCACTACAGTGTAGGTTCCAGGTTCTGCCATGGAACCAAACCAACCCATGCTCACCCCTACCTCCTAGGATGGGTGGTTTGTACTAGGAAATGTATCTGGAAAGAATTAATACTTGTGAGCTACTGCAAAGAAAAAGACCTAATTGGTGCCTCTCCCTCCACCAATGCTCTCTATGCAAAGCTAATGGTGAGAATTGCTATCACTTATTAATCCCCTACCCTTATTCTTCTCCAATTTGGAAATGGTCGTTTTCTTTGTTCATGTGCAAGTGAACCCTCCACCTAATGTACAAAGCTTGTTTGCTCCAACTTTCGTAAGTTGGTCAAAAAAGAGAAGAAGATTGCTTCGGAGGTGCAGAAGGGCAGCGGTCACCTCCAAAGCAATCTTTTTCTTTTTGACCAACTTACGAAAGTAGGGCAGAGGTGTACTATTTATCAAAAAAAGGGCAGCGGTGTACTAGCCAATTTGGGATGAGATGAACCAACAAATATTTCTTAGTAAAGAACAAAGCAAAGAATCTATTACTGAGGCTATTATCATCAAGGTGATCCATTGGGTGAAGTAGTCGGAGCTCTTCAAGGATGTTTCTGGGGGTGAGATGTTGAGAAATTGGAGAGGTAGTCAATTCTTCCCCCTTTAGGGCGGTGGTGAGACCTGTGTGGTCCCCACCTCCTAGAGGTGTTGTTAAGCTCAATTTTGGTGGTAGTAGCGAAGGCAACCCAGGTCCATCTAGCATTGAAGGAGTGCTCAGGAATGAGGAGGGAATTGTCATTGCATTCTTCTCAGGTCCAATCAGAGTTGGAGACTCTCAAAGGGCTGAAACTATGGCGGTTATGGAAGGGATTCAAAAGGCTAAAGAGCTGAACATTAGGAAATTGTTAATTGAAGGTGATTCGAAGCTTGTTATAAGCTGGCTCCAAAAAAAAGAGGAGGCTGGATGGTGGTGCTATATATATGAGAAGAGGAAAGCCATTAAACTGTTAAAAGGGATAGAGGTGACTTGTAAATTGTAATTGGGTCAGAAGAGATGCAAATGCCTTCGCTGATACACTTGCTAAACAAGGGTTGGGAAGGAATAGCTTATTTTGGGCTGTGTTGTAAATTTTTTCACTTGGGGAGAGATTAAGAGAGTTTATCCCTTCCCCCTTCTTTCTCTTCCCTATTTTTCTTCTTAATGAATGATATTGATTCTGTTATTGATCAAAATAATGTTACGGCAATGAAACAAATCATGATATTAAACCATTTTCTTGTGAAACCATACCTACACCACAACTTTCTTCAAAATCATTCAATTGAAATTTCTCTGGACCAATGCTTGTAAAAAATGAGAAAGCTGCCTCTAGCTGAGCTGGGGCTTTTATCTGCAAAAATAATGATCATCAAACAAAAAAAGTATATCTCAAACTTTCTACTACAACAAAAGAAGGTCACGCAAAATTGACAGCATAACTTATATACCCGTCCTAAGAAGTGAGTAAATACACATTGCCCCAACTTTGCATGTAGATAAAAGAAAATCATCTAGAATTATCCCAGCAAACAATACATTACACATTATAATGTTAGAAATTGAAATCTTGTCTCTAACCTTCAATGAGACCACGTATTCAAGCACAACGTGGGCCGATGTACAAGTGCATTAGCTGGGAATTTGGTAGCAACCTGACTTGCACAAGGCACCAAAAAAAAAAAAACTAATCAATATGCAAGGCTTCCATATATGCAGAATCATGGTAATGAATAACAAATAACTTTACCGTGTATAAAAGATTCCCAATAGCCCTGCTACACCCATTAGTAACACCAGCCTGAGAGAGAGAAAATAGAGTGTAAATCGAACATCTAAACTCCAACCCTAGGAAACGATGTAAGTCCAAAGACATAACTTTTTATCAGACAGCTCCAAAACATATATGCATTATTACAAACCAATGCATGCATTCAATTGTGCAGTCTCTCTGTTATAATAAAGTTGAATGGATGAACTTCACACCATAGTCACATGCAATGTAGAATTTTCACAAGAGAACAACGTGGAATAACTATGTTAAAACGTCTATTTTCCAATATAAAAAATAAATAAATCATTCTATAGGACAAAATTAAACAGAGACTTATATAACAGAAGACACAGGGTACTGTTTACAAGAAAAGAATCAAAACCCTGATAGTAAATTCAAGTAACATGAATGACAAAATGCATAGTTGACACTAAAGATTCTCATACCTCGTGAATAACTGCAGTTAAGTTGGCGGTAACCTTGTTATTGGCAATGGTGTTCCGAGCAGTCCGCTCATCCAAACCGATCTTCAAAAACAACTCCAATGATTTCTCACTGCTCTCGTCTTTAGCCACCATTCTTTCTTCCGGTCAAGCTTTAGAATCTGCATAAACACAGATCGGGGAAAAACACACACACACAGAAAAAACATAAGAAATTTCGTCAAACAAGATAAATAATCAAAACGGGGAATAAGCCCTAGATTCACCAATTGATGGAGGAGGAGGAAAGGTGGCGACTAACCCCGGAAGGGGAAGCAGAGACGAAAAACAGGACCTAGACTACTACGCGCTCTCAGTACTACTTGTACCAGTAAGACCATAGAAATCTTTTTCCTTTGGCCCTAAGGCTAGCCCTACGGTTCTTGAGCAAAACGTCATGCTCCCCTCGTTCGAGGAGAAAGGTGGCATTCGGTAACGCTGAACAGACCTCCGAACGCTGAAAAAGCAACAGTGGTCGTTCGGTTGCACCTCTGAGAGTGTCCTCCGAACTCCGAAAATACCTCCAAATTTTTCAGAGGTCGAGCTACCTGGATGAAGCGTCTTACACAAGGGACGGCGGCTCTGTTTCTGGTTTAGTTGCAGCGTTATAAAGGGGATGAGAGGAAGAAAAAAAAAACGAACTGAAACGGGAGAGAGATAAGAGGAAGAAGGAGGAGAAAGGTGGCTGTCAAACACGTTCGGTGGTTAACCTGCTCACCGGCAGCAGAGGAGGAGAGAGGGCGAGTGAGAAGAGAAGAAGCAGAGAAGAAGAAATTCAAGGATGAGAAACTTGAGGTAGAGAAAGACAACAATAGAGGGGTGAGAAGGCCATACCTATCCGAGGCGTGATTGATAAAAAGAACAGATTCGCCTCTCCTCAATCTGAGGTTGCCACGGGCTTCTGCCACTGCAGTTCGGTGATGGTGCGAGAGGTTGAAGACAACCTACTTGCTCGATTATATTTAAGCTGCTTTATAAAAACAATACAAACTTTATAAAAAACAACAAAAAATAGGGTAAATTATATAAACCCCCTCGTATTATGGGGTTTATGATAAAAACCCCTTATACTTTATTTTGCGACAAAAACCCCTGTACTATGACCATGAGACAAACACCTCCCTTACCGTTAAGTAAGACGATCAAATGCATTAAATTATCAAAAGACCTTATTAAACCTTTTCTATTTTATTTTTTTGTTTTCTTTTTAACTTATTTAACCTATTGTTTTTCCTTTCTTCTCTTATTTTCTCCTCCCTTACCATCATCATCTCTCATTCTTTCTCTCTCTCAACTCTCCGAAATGAAATGGCATAAACAACCCATTTCTCATCTTCCCTTTCTTCTCTTCTCCATCTTCAATCTCATCCTGAACTTTGACCCCTCCAAAATCCTCCTTGTACATTATATTATTGAGATTTAACCCTTTTTTGGTAGTTTGAATAGGTAAGGCAGCCCAATGCACAAGGTTTGTTCAATGGAAAGGGACAAATGTATGTAGCCTTACCCATAATGCAAAATGCATACAAATTTTCTTTCTCTTTCATTCGTCCATGCTTCACGGGATTTTTTTTTGTTCTCTCCAACCAATGGTTCCATTACCTTTCTCGATTTTCTTTCTCATTACCTTATCTATCCTTCTTTTTTTATTTTTATTCTAATTTTATTTTGATAACCCCATTTGTTTAATGGATCTCAGTCATCATTAAGACTCCTACCTCTTTGTCTTTTAATCCTTTTTGAAGTGTTGATATTAGTCGCAGTAGATAGGCTGATGATCTTTGGTGGCAATTTCTTTTAAAAGGATGTGGGGCTTGAAGGACAAAAGCACACACTCTTTAGGTAGATTTAAGTTGTTAGGCATTGTTTATCATTTTTCAACTTTTCCTTACTCTTTTCATTATACTAGTTTTGCGTTTCATCATTGAGATGATATGTGGAGTTCTTTAGGTGGTAGATTTATGTTGTTAAGCATTGTTTGTCATCTTCAACTTTTCCTTACTTGGTACTCTTTTCAATATACGGGTTTTCTGTTTTGTCCTTGAGATGATATGTGGAGTTTTGTTTTCTATTTATTCATTAAGAGAATGAGATGTTTTTCTTATGATAAATTTGCATAGATAATGAGCCCCTTCTTCTGTTAATTGTATATTTTGTTAATAAGTATTATTTAAGTCAACAAAGAGTGAAAGGAGAGCGTTCAGTGTCTTGCATTGTGGAGTCATATATTTAATTTCTTATATTTTTCTAATTTGACGCTTGTAAATATACAAAGGGATATGATCATGATCACCTTTTGTTGCAGATATTGGAAAAATCATCTTAAGGAGCAAGCCTGGTATTAATGATGACAAACTTACAGAAACTCTACAATTTCAAGGAGTAGAAAAATCCAAAGACATTTTGAAATCATAAGTTTGACAAGGGAATAAATAATGATGGCCACCGTGGAGGGTGTAACAGAGAACAAGGATGAAGACAAGAAAAACGTTTTGGTAGGCATTCGAAGATAGATATGGTCGGGACTTGATTAATTGGGCCCTTATTAAAGTTTCTGAACCAGGGGATCGCATAGTTGAAGTCAATATTTGTCGAGAATATAGTAATGGTAGTTGTTTTTTTTTAATGAAGAAAGCAGTAATGGAGAAAGAGATATCGGAATTGAATTAAATGGGTTCAATCCYAACGCTGTTAAGGGGAAGGGCAAGAAGAGAGATTAAGGGAGAGAGAAAAATGTGAAAGAACGAAAGGATAGTATTGAAAGGTTGGGGAAGATGAACAGTGTATGAACAATGTTTTTTTTGTCTAGTTATTATAAGGGTAGTATGGGGATTAAAAAATATTATAATGGCCTTTTTGGACGGAAAGCTAACGGAAGGGGGTCTTTGTAATTTACCCTGAAAATATGAGAATTTAAAGTTGCAACTTTACCTTTTATTGGTTGATATGAAACCAAACTTAGTCATCCTTAGGAATCATAATCCTTTTGGGTTATGCATCTCATAGATGCTCAATAAAACCGAACTTAGTCATCCTTAGAAACCATAATCCTTTTGGGTTTAGTTTATTTTCTTTTATGAGCTTAACCATGTTATAAAAGCCAAGAAATTTGATAGCCAAAGGAAAAAGTTTCTAAACCTCTAGGCAAAAAGTATCAAGGTTTCTAAGTGTTTGGATTGTCTATCAAGCAAATTAAACATGATTGTGAGAAGTAGTTAACTACTTCAAAATCATGTATTGACTAATTGTGACAGTTGAGACATGTGGAATGCCTAATCTGAGAAGATGTCTCGATTATTCAGACTAATTCTGTTCACAAGCTTACCATTTGTATGATAATTATGGAAGAACTAGTAAATTGAATGGGGAAAAAGATTCCCCTGTTCATGTTGTAGTCGACTATCATAACAATGCAATCGTCTACCGTGAAAAAATTTGACCATTTTTTAAGGTTACAACGACTAATATTAAACTTGGAAATATTTGAAGGAGTTATGGGAAAATTGAATTATTTTCTAAAGAGGTAAAATCCCCTTAACAATTATAATATGGTCACTTGTTCCCAAATCCTTTGTAAGTAGAGTTTTTCAACTTGATTAAAAAACAATAAAAGCAAGAGCAAGTTTTGAATCAAACTTGTGAAAAACAACATGTGCTTTCACTTGTACATGTCGTATATAGTTGTTTTGTAGATAAAGCAAGCAAAAACCTATAGTATTTTTGGAGGAGAACATTGAGCTTTATCAAACTTGTGAAAAACCTTTAAGCTTGTTTCTCACCTATTGTTGGGACCCTCCTCCCTAAGCTAAGCATATGTGTATACTCTAGCAACTGATTAGTTTGAGTTGTAATTGTTTTTGTCTGCTTATGGAGAGGCCACCCTTGTATTATAAACCTACTTCTATGCTTATTAGTGAAATATCTTTGAACAAATAGGTGTTTAACCTGTTGATACCATTAAGGTCGTGTTGGCACTTTCATTAAGACCAATTATAAGGTCTTCTAGGCACCCATAAGCCCTGCAAGTTTGGGCCTTATTAACGCCCAGTGTAACTATGTAAGTCTAATTGGAAATGTATTGTAAATATCTATGAAGTCTTATTGGTTGTAAATGATTGACTATTGCTTGGGAAGTTTAGTCAATTAATAGAAAATCCTTAGTGGCAGTTTAGGGTAAATGACATAGCCAAACCTCTAAAAAAAACTTGTATGCCTTGTTTTTGTTTATTTTCCTCTTCAAGTTTACAATTCATTTTATTTGTGCCAACTTACTTAACATTGTAATAGTTGAAGCCTTTAAATCTTGAAGACATGCATTTTATTTTGTTTCTTTCTTTTTACATCTACAAGATACAAGGAATGCTAGAGTACGTAATTTGAGTTATGACTTTTTTTTATAGAAACCAAGAGGGGCTACACAAGACGGGGGGTAGCGCGACCCCATAAACTAGACTTACAAATACAAGCTAGATTCCAAGAACGATCACTAAGATTGATACTTTACTAACTTCGTTGGTATGTCGAAATGCGCCACGTGGCCACCCCATAGTCAGATAATTTAATGAGCTTAAATGGAGGTGGACCACATTAATTAATGGACATTTAATACGACACAAGCGCATCAAGTCAGGGAGTAGTTAACCATTCAAGAAATTCCACGTGGAACTGCTTGAAATGATGATGCTCCATGGTGACAACTCCTATAATGGTGTCAAAGATCCTTGGTGATATGATTTGGGGTGGAGAAATGTCTAATGGATAGTGGGGGCCACCTACAAAGGGGCTATAAATAAATACCCCAACTACCCACATTCAAAGGACAATAGGAGAAAATCACCCAATTAGGGACAAGGAAATAAGTCTTTGCCTCTAACCTCTCCCCTGCCACCTGTCTCTCCGTTTATTCTCCATTCCCTAGGTCCATAAGCTCAAAGCTCTTGCATAAATTGTCTCAGGTAAAGAGCATGATTTGAACCAGTTCACATTGGTCTCTTAGATCGTGCCACATGACATTGAATTCATCTCAACATTGAGAAGCATTAATTAGATAGAAGAGTGGTTATCAATTGCAGCTTCTCATAAAAAAAGATGACTTTAACTTCCTTCTAAAGGTTGCCATTATTTTATTGCATGATTGGCTTGAAATTTTAAATCTAAAGTGGTGATGTATGGAAAGGAAGCAACCCCAAACCAAGTGGTTTATCTCTACCCAAACTCATATACATGAAGTCTCATGTTTAGTCACTAGCGTCGACCTTGAACTGAATGTTATTGATAGAGTTGAGGATGTACCAAGACCTACAAGATTGATTTCATCTATTGGCAATGTTAAAAAGGTTAATGTGGGCGAAGCCATGTGTTCCACTCACTTTGCTTTTGCCTTATGATACAATATCTTGGGATAATGGAGGATGTTTTGTTTGTGGCAAGGGACTTAGGCTCTCTAGCGTATAAGCATCCTTTGGAAATGGAAACTAAAACTGTGTTGGGAGGTATTAAGTTTGCACTATATTTAGGTATCACTTATGCCATCTTTGAGGGATATTCTCTATTAGTTATTAAGGCTCTGTTTGCATCAATTAAAATATTTCTCATTCTTAGAATCCATCCATAAAAGAATGGATTATGGATTTTCTTGATTCTAAGAATATATGTGTGAACATTTGGTCCGCCTTTTTCTCATAAACAAAATTAAGTATGGAAACACATATTGAGAAGGGAACTCTATACTTGAAGAACTTAAGGAGAAGGCAATGAGTATAAGAACAAGATTGTAGTCAGTCTTCTTGGTAAAAAAAAATCCCAACATCTGGGATTGGAACCCATACAACAAGCATAGATGGGCACAATAAGTAGGGATGTCCATACCTGTAATGAGCGGAAGGTTGGCGTTGAATGATGAGTCATGATATTCAACTTTGTAAAAAAAGGAATGGGAAGAAGAAAGCAAGCATTAGAAAACAAGAAGGAATAATTGAAGGAAGGGGAAGAAGAAATACAAGGAAGAAAATGTGAGAAAGAACCTAGGTTTTACATGAGATTTTGACTGACGCCAAAGGACTGTTACAAAGCCATTGAGGTTGGAATAGTTGAATAAGGGGAAGAAGAAATAAGGGAATGGGGTAGGGTTTCAAGTGGGTGTTTTAAGAATATTGGGAATTACTAAAGTACCCTCAATTTCGTCACAAGCGTTCATTAAACCGAATTAACGTGGCAAAAACTGGGTCGGGCGAGAATCACATTTTTGATAAAGGTTGTGTTTAAGTGTAAATTTAGTTTTACATGATGAAAAATGTGACCTTGGTTTAGTTATTGATGGAAAATGGAACCGGGGTGTTTTGGAATTTTTATCTCATATCATTTGGTTGTTACGGTGTAAAAGTGAAAGGTTTTATGCTCATTATGCTCTGAAACTCTCCCTTCAAACCCAATTGGATTCAGAAGATAATATGGTGTTGGTTTCTGGAACCCGACATTAGAGAGATGGCGGTTGCAAAGACTGACATCAGCTTCAACCTTTCCTTGATTTGTCTAGGTTATAACACCATAACTCACCATGACGTGGGCAGTGGAAGGTGGATGAAATTGGGAAGCATGGTTGGAGAAGCTAGGAGTGCAATGGTGGTCGGTTTAGAAAACAGGAAATCTGCAACTGGTCTACATTGAAGAAGGGGTAATGAGGGTGGTGCCTGAAGGGAGCGAGAGGTTCATGCGGGTCATGAATCCCTGGTTCGGTACCCTAAATAGTCTAAGGCTGATCATTGGCCAAGCTGTTCGAATGTTTGGTTCGACCTCAGCTACAACGTCCTCAAGGGTTAGCAATGGGATGCTTTCCGTGAGATCCTGAAGAGCACAAGTGGAGTCCATCTCAGTATGAGATACATCCCATACCTCCCATTGTTGAGACTTTTCCTCCTCCGTTGGATGATATTGATCTTCCAATTGCAGTCCGTAAAGGGAAGCGCCATTGTACCTCATCTACAGTCCATTGTATTTCCCAATTTTTGTTTTATGATCACTTGTCTCCATCCTATAAGTCTTTTTTTGACCTCTATTGTTGCTATTTCCATTCCCATAACAGTGCATTAAGCTTAGTAAGTACTTGAGTGGAAGGATGCAATGCAAGTAGAGATGAATGCCCTTCTAAAGAACAATACATGGGAGTTAATTGGTCAACTTAAAGGAGAGAAAGAGTGTAGATGGGTGTTTACAGTGAAACATAATGTTGATGCATATACTATTTGGATACTTTTGCACCAATAGCCAAAATGAATACTATTAGAGTTTTACTATCATTTGCAGCAAATTTCTCATGGCCATTGTTTTAGATGTATGTCAAAAATGCCTTCCTTAATGGTGATTTGCAAGAGGAGGTGTATATGGAGTTACTTATTTGATTCAAATACCCCTGCTCTACACACAAATGCCGGCCCGTGAATTGGCATCAATTATGAGTTGGCACCTACCCCAACTATACTTTGGGCCTAAAAATTCTGACCCTGGGTTGGACCATCATTCTCCCAAATATGAAGTTAGGTCGGATATTGGGTTCATCCATTCATAGACACCCCACATGCACCCCATAACCCATCACCCTATGAATTGGGAGTTTGGATCTGCACCTCCCAAGTACATCTCACCATGTATCAAGAACATTTCACATACTTATATGTGTTTGTGAGGTCAGTGTGGGGTGCATTGTGTGAAGAGCATATCTCTATCGATGAATTGAGAATATCTTTTCATAATAAGTACTGGAGATGCTCTTAGACTGTACTCACAACCATTGACATATATGTATTGGGAAAAATCTCCCCACATATATTCTTAATATACGGTTGCAAGTGACTATAAGGACAATATGAACACTATTTTGTGATGATTAAATCTGGGTTCCTATAAGGCACTTCATGGGGAGCCCATTAGAATTAGGAATGGCAACGGGTAAGGTACCCGTGCAAATTGCCCTACTTGTTCCCGAACCCACCTACGTACTCTTGATCACAAACCCGTTCCAAACCCGTTTAGCTTTTTTTCTCTCAATTTCCCAAACCCGTCTTGACCAGTCCCACTCGATTATCATATGATCAAGTTAGACTTTTCTTCAATTTCGATATTAAGTATATAAAAAAAATCTCAAATGTTCATTATCAACCAACATTCAATAAGAACCAACATTAATAAAATTATTCTGTATAAAAGAACAAAAGAGGCATTGAGGCAATGACTTTCTATAACAATCAACAACTATACAAGTGCTCAATAATAATTTCATTCAGGTTTTTCATCTCTATTGCAAAGGAAATTTCATAAAAGATCCATCATAAAAAGTTAAAAAACCCCTTAGGCCTTCATCTGTACTTGTGAATCATTTTCAACTACAAGCTTTCACTTTATATATAAATATGCTTGTTCTCATGAATAATTCAGTTGATAAATAGTTATGCTTTTGACAAGCCCATTACAGTTATCAAGGAAAACAATTTTGGTTCATTATACTAAAATGAAAACATTGTCATTTTCCTTGATAATAATAAGCATTATTAATTCAAATAATTTATAGATTATGAAAAAGACAATGAACCAGATGTTTCATTTTGGAAAAAACAAAACTAGTGTCCAATCCAACAACGGTTCTTTTATTCTGTTTTATATGCAAGCAACAAAATACCAAAACCAAAAGATATACAATATAGTAGAGTAACTTCTTATAAGAAGCAAAACATATTTATATATCAGTATATGTTTGTAGCAAAAAAAAAGAAAATAAAAGAAAAATACTTACCTATGTTAGATGGCCAAAAACGATGGATGGCAATGGTGCAAAACCAATGTGTGTCTAGCAATAGTTTATTTTCGTACGAGTTTTGTATGCAAGTTGAAGTAGCAAAATTATAGAACCAATAGTCACAGACGGTTTTCTTCTTCTGGGTTTTCTTTACGTTTTTTTGCTTGAAAATCGAAACTTGGAAGAGCAACAACCACACATGGCACGGATGCACGGTGTGGTGGAAACCTATAATATATATATATATATATATATATATATTTTGATATATGTCATTTATTCCTGGTGAAAACCTATAATATATATATTTATATAAAGAAGTGAAGCCATCAATTAATTAAACTATGAACACCTCTACCAAATTCTAAAGCACTTATTTTCTTCTTCTTCTTAAAAAAAAAAATTTAACATCATAAGCATCATGTTAGGGCTTAAGGGCTTAGGGATGAGGGTAGCCTATGTTCATTTTTTATTTCCCCATTACCCATAAGGTCATAAACCCCAACCCTGTCCCATGTAAGAGTCAAATTTGATCAACCAAAAACAATGTTCGAATTGGACTTAAAAATAATTACATCAATAAGTTTTTAAAATTAATTGATAAAAAATTAAAATTCATAGACAAATATTTCACCTAGAAATATTGATTGGATTGGATTTAATAATAATTATGTCATTGAAATTTTAAAATTAACAATTAACAAATTAAATTTCATAAACAAGCAAGTTTGAAAGTGTCTCAAACTTACTAATTAACCATTATAAGAATGTCATAGGGCTGATAGGCCATGGCCCATAGGGCTCCTCCTAGCTAGTTGGCTTCTACTTAATTAATTTCTCTTAAATATATTATATATTATTTTATAACATATATTATACCATGCCATGTATTTTATTTCATATATATATAAATATTTTTTATAAATATATTATAGTCGGGTTTGTAATCAGGTATCGAGAATGGGTATCTACATAAAACAAACCGAGTATCGAGTATTAGATATCTTATTTATCAAAACCCAAACCTATCCCAAACCCTATAGGGTTTTAATCTAAAATCTCAAATCTGTTTCAAACCCTATAGGATTTTGATAAACAGGTTCTATTAAATCAGATCTGATTGAATATCCAAAAATTCCCGCGAAATTACCATCTCTAAAACGAATGATTTCATATTGGCGCCCTACGGTGTGTATTGGATTCCCAATACAGGGCTGGATGGGCTGTGGGGCGCCCATGCGAATTCAACTGGAGTAAAAGACTCGTCTCGTAGACTTCGCCACATCATCTCTACTCGTATCCGATAAAATGCTACAATCTGTGATCTTGACGGATCAGATTTTATACATCCTCAATCACTCACTTAATCTGGGCCGTCCAGATTCTAGGGCAAGCATCTTTATCGTCCCTTCTCGTATTTTTAAAACCCTTCGTTCCGCTAAAATTAGGGTTTCTCTGACCTGCGAGATAGAAGTGAAGGCTTTTCTCAGATCGAGCCTCCAGCGGCAGTGAGGTATGACTGCAAATCAATGGTTTTCATATGCGAGTTTATGTTCACTTTATTCATATGTCAATATCTTTAGACCTGTAACTCACATTTGGGTTTTGTTGGGAAATCCTGCTTTCCCATTCGAGGTCTTTATCTGTGTTGAACCAATTAGGGTTTTAGGTTGTCCGTGTTTGATTGGATTGGTTTCTCGTTCTTCTCTTTAATTTTTATTCGGAGTTTTTTCTCTCCAAATGATTGGAAAACATGTTATAGTTTCGATTTATACCAATTGATTGGTTTAATTAATGGTTATCTTTGGTATCGAAGTAGGAAGAAATTTCGTATATATTATTAGCATTCTATGGTTCCCAGTATTAATTGGTAAACACTAGTTTTTTGAGTTGAATAATTTCTATTTCGTCGTTTGATTTTTATTCCTCGCTCGTTATGAAGTTATTATCAAACAAGTCAAGAATGCTGAAGGATGATTGTTCCTATAATTGGCATGCATGATACTTGTTTTGTTAATATTGGATTCATTTCAGAGACGATTATCGTTATTTTAGTTTTTGGTGGAATGGAATCGTACATGTAAGTGAGCCAAAATTCTTAAAGTAAATGTTAAGCTAAATCTCTTGAAACTTTATTTTTGACGCTTTAAAATCAGATAAATCTGGGGCCTGCTTGTTTACTTCCATCTCGATAATAGAAGTCTTAGAAATGATGTCTGCAAGTTATCCATTTGGGAACCTAGAATCTCAGGGTGGTTCTTCTTGGACATAAAGGAAGCAAACATAGCGCTTGGAATTAAGATCTCCTTGTATATAGGCTCTCCTTGCGGAATTCTGTGTCGTAAGAAAAAACTAATATTTATTTGTATTCATTATAATTGAGTTGCTTTAGAAGACTGTACTCTGTGTCGTTTCTCTGTCTATGACCATCAATCTGTTTTGTACTTCAGTCTTGAAGCAGACGAAGTAGCGCTTTTAGCATATGTTGTCAACCTGCTTAATGAGCTTGGCATGATATTGTAACTCGTAACATAAAATACTACTTGTAAAAAAACTATATGTGCACCATAATGGATATTTATATCCTGCAATAACCCCCATATGCGTGGTTTATCTAGGATCTCTCTCAAGTGTGCACTTAATTTGTCTCATTAGATGTCTGGCTGATGGTGGCCAATCCATGTTAGTGGACTGAATGCTATCCCTATTGATCTGACTCTTCACATATTCTACTCTTCAATTATTGACATAAACTTTAGTTGATATAGGCCTTAAATATTATCCTTTTTGTTGGAATTCAATCCAGTCTGATTAAGTTGTTCTGAATTCACCCCATTTAACCTATTCATTAAAAAAAATCACCCCATTTAACCCATTTGTAAATGGATTGAATAAGGATACACCCTATTCCAATCTAATGGTATTCCAATATTTATGTTAATGTCTACATGAGATTAATATGCATCTATTAGTAAAGTTGGTTTCAATGTTATTTGTACTTTTGTAGGTTCAGGTCTTTTAGAAGTTATTTTTAATTTAATTTATTTATAGTATTGAATATCCGAGTATTATCATATCAAATTTAGGTCCATATTATTCTTTATGGTCTTTTTTCAAATTGATAAAATAAAATTAGAAGTTACCAACCAAAAAACATACAATTTTTTTTTGGTCTAGGCATATATGATCATCAGTCAGGATATCATTACCTGATTTTTCATTTGGAAGTGCCATGTGCTTGGTTGGCAAGGTTTCTGGAAGGTTGTATCAGAGTCTTGGAGTTCCAACCTTCACCAAGATTAGAGAGGGGCTGTGGAGTTTGGGGGCCTCATTTGCCTGGAAAAAGCGTTTCTCTAATTGCTTCCACTGCTAGGTGCAAGAAGACTCTTTGTCCCCCTTGGTCCCTCCCCCCCCATTGGGTGTTATAAAGTTGAATTTTGATGGAAGTGTAGGGAATCCAGGGCCATCAGGGATTGGAGGAGTCTTCAGGAACGAGGAAGGGATTGTTATTGCTTTGTTCTCTGGCCCTATCGAAGAAGTTGACTCTCTTAGGGCTGAGATCCTTGCTGCGCTTTAAGGGGTTCGTAGAGCAAATGAATTAAATATCAGCCATTTGATCTTGGAAGGTGATTCAAAGGTGGTGGTTAGCTGGCTGAAGAAAGAGGGCAGTGGATTGTGGAATTATAACAATGAAAAGAAGCAGTTCTTATGGTTATGTAGGGACATTGAGATACAATACAGTTGGGTGAAGAGGAGTGCCAACTCATTTGCTAATGGGCTGGCCAAGCAAGGGGTGAATAGGGAGTCTGTTTTTTGGGCTAGTCTTTAATTTTTTCTTTGTATTCTCTTTGTTTTCAGTTTTTGGGGAGCTAAGATATTTTAACTCCCCTCTTGTATCCATAATCCTTCTTTTCTTTTAATTAATGAAGCTGTTGTTGTTGATAAAAAAAGTACATATCATTAATGTTACAATGTAAAGTGGAATTCTACAAAAACTGCATTCCTTGTTTTGTAAGTTCGTTATCGTGCTTCATAGATGAAAAGGTGTGCTGAAAATGATTCTATTTTATCCTTGGTTCATGCAGTGAGATCAGTCAAGATGTATACAGCAAGGAGGAAGATCCAGAAGGACAAGGAGGCTGAACCTTCTGAGTTTGAGGAGTCAGTTGCACAGGTTAATGCTAAACTTCATTGTTGTTTATCCTTTTAACAACCTTTTAGCATAAGGTTGGAGTTCTGATTCTATTATCTATGCAGTCACTGTTTGATTTGGAGAATACCAACCAGGAGCTTAAAAGTGATCTCAAGGATCTTTACATCAATTCTGCAGTGTAAGGGCATTGTACCACTTTTATTTATTACACTTTTAGTTTTGCTCGCCATGGACCATGACCTTGTTCATTGTCCACTCATGCAGCCAAATTGATGTTTCTGGCAACCGGAAAGCTGTTGTTGTCCATGTTCCCTACCGACTGAGAAAAGCTTTCCGCAAAATTCATGTTAGACTTGTAAGGGAACTGGAGAAGAAATTCAGTGGAAAGGTGCTCTAAACTTTTTATTTTGCTTTTTGAAATAGAACTTCACTAAATTTATTAACAAAGTTTTGTGCTGGTAGATCGTAGGAAACTAGTTTTGAAAATATGTTTAGGCATTCAGCTGCTTCTCCTCTCATTTGCGAAGCTTGTATCTTCTGTTTTTCAAAACAAAAACTGCCATGGAATAATGTAATATAAAAGACAATGCTCTTTGCTGATGTGGCAGTTTTTTTTCGAAAAACAGAATCATTGGTGAAAACCCCCGTGGGTTGCTTAGAAATGCGGTCCATTTTAGTGATTTTACTACCTCAGACATAATCTTGCCTTCGTGTTACTTTCATTTTTTTAAATTAAAGATCTTAAACTGCAATCATCATTTACACCTTCCATTGATTTTATAGTGCTTAATATAAATGTAGATATTGTGTTAATTTCTTACTCAAGGCCATACTTGTCTGGTACTGGTAGGACGTAATCCTCATTGCAACCAGAAGGATATTGAGGCCACCGAAGAAAGGCTCTGCTGTGCAACGGCCTCGTAGCCGCACACTCACCGCTGTGCATGATGCCATGTTGGAGGATATCGTGTATCCTGCTGAGATTGTGGGGAAGCGGATTAGATACCGCATTGATGGTTCCAAAATTATGAAGGTAAAACAAGACCTTGCACCCAAACTTCCCCTTCTGACTATTTATCATTTGTTTTTGTTTTCATGGCCTATACATGTTTTTTATGTTGTAGATTTTGCTTGACCCCAAGGAACGGAACAACACAGAATACAAGCTTGAGACTTTTACAGCAGTTTACAGGAAGCTTTCAGGAAAGGATGTCGTGTTCGAGTATCCCATAACAGAGGCGTAGAGATGTTACTATGTTTCCATTGAGTTTTTTTCATAATTTTGATGTTGGGTACTATTTAAATTTTGACTACTTGGGTAGCATTTGCTGAGGTTCTATTTGGAGGTGCAAAGTTGAATGGTTTGGTTGTAGGACTCCAGATTCCAGATTTATTGAATCTTTTTAATTTCGTGAATTTATCTGACATGCGGGCATTTCACTTACGTGCCGTGGTAGTGTATCAGTTTAATATGCTTTCTATCAAAGAACAAAAAAAGACCTGGCAAGCTGGCATTGTCTTCGTGCTGGCCGGTGGCGTCCTTTTTCTTGTCCATGTTGCTTATCATGCGATTTCAAGGACCTGGGGTGAAGCTTTCCGCGTGATATTTAGCAATTTTTTTTTTCCGTCTCTTTTTTGGCATCAGTCTGTTTACTGATTTATTGCCGCTGTTATTTTCTTCTAATAAAACATATTTAATTGAAACATGAAATTTGATATAGAAAAGGCTGATCAACACCCAATAGCAAAGAGGAATAGTGTGGAATGTGGATTGTGTATGTAAACTATGTATGCATATTTTGTGGATGCAAAATTTATGCATTGAAGGTCGAGGATTTGTCTCATAAATTCTCATTGCCGATATTAATTATTAAAGATAAATTGTGAAAAAAAAAGGGAAGACAAAATGATTGTTTTATGGGTAAATTACAGATAGGTATCCTGTACTGTGAGGGGGGGGAGTGAGATGGATATCTTGAACTTTCAATTACAACACTTGGTAATTTGAATTCTTAAAAATGGACACTTGAAACCTTCTGCTAGTATTTCATCATCGGTTAAGTATTATATAATGCCATAACTACCCTTCTCATAATATTACTACTAACCCTAGGGTGAATTGTTCCATGTCGAGGAACACTCGGTAGATACGCGACCACCGGGTCATTTCTTCGATGAAAATAAAGAACACTTTAATCCTCTCAGACCGTCATCCTTAGCCAACCAAATCCCAGAAGGAAAAGTGGCTCTCTAAATTCTAAGAAGAGTTTAACGTTCAAACGATAAACTTGCAGTCCAAGAAAGATGGCCAGATCTTTTGGACCCAAAACAACAGCCAGATTTTGAACTCAAGGGTGTACAATACGAGTACATTGACGAGGATTCCTCCAACAAGAGTGCTTTGCTCTTGGGAGTATAACCCAGTTCATAAGAAGGTTTCTGTTCTTGTTCATGGTGGAGTTCCAATTGCAGAGTCCATTGTTATCCTTGAATACGTCGAGGAGACATGGCTGAATAATCCTCCGCTGCTGCCACAAGATCATTGCGAGAGAGCCCAAGCTCGGTTCTGGATTAAATATCTAGAAGACAAGGTAAATTATTTCTTAATTTCTTTTTGTACAGACACACGTAGACCACCAGGTGTTTTGGTGATGTAGCAACCTTCTTTGCAGTGTCTTGGTTTGTTAGGGAACAACAGAAGGCACTCAAAGAGGCCTCAGAAGTGTTGAAAACCATTGAAGAGCGTGGTTTTGCAGAGAAGTTCTTTGTTGGAGACACAGTTGGAATGGTGGATATAGCATTCGGGTGGCTTTCTCACTGGATTGGACCGATGGAAGAGCTCTCAGGCGTGAAGTTAGTGGAAGCCCATGCGCTCCAAGACCTTGCATGGTACAGGGTAGTTCTGGTGACGATTTTACTTTGCCGGCTATTTATTACCCTCACCAGTCAAGTGATTTTAATTGTTGTTGTTTTGGTCGTTTTAAATTTTTTGATTTTAATAATTAAAAAATTACATGGGCATTTCAGTAATTTTATCATACAGGGAAACGTGAATTAACCGAAATGGACCCAAGTGTTATTTTTGAGAGTTAAAGGGTACTCAATTATTGTAATTGAAAGCTCAGGTACCTATCTGTCACTCCCCCAAAGTACAGGGCACCTATCTGTAATTTATCCAGATAAAATTAAAAATTTTAGTGCCTGCCAATTTGACTCGACCCTCTCGGCTTGAAACAGGCAATTACACTGGATTGACAAAATAGGATTCATATAGACCCCATATACTTAGGATAAGGCATTGATTCGTATAGCAGACCCCGTATACTTAGGATAAGGCATTGACGACGGTGATGATGTAAGAACTTAAAAATAAAAATTTGCTTCTTGCGATGTGATGCCGAATGGAAATTGTAGAATGAGTCTCTGTATGGTTACGTTGCTAAGTTCACAAATCGGAAAAAAAAAAGTAGTGTGTCAACATATCACATGCGTACAAGAAAGCCATTTGGGTGACTTGTGGTCTGAAGTCTGAACCCCAATGTCTGAAACTTGAATTAGAAAATAAATATCTACGGAAGAAATGACTCTTATCTGGTTCATAAAAGAATTTGTGGGAACCAATTAAAGCTTACAGTGCACAATAGACAGGCAAAGGCTTTTGGTAGACTAATTTTAATTCTTTCTTCCAAAGAAGATGAATATATTTTACCTGATTCCCCAATTGGAATTCTTTGGGCAGAGTTACTCTGTAGTTGCTGAATTGTTTTAACGCTATGTTTGGTTTGAAGGAAAGAGTAGGAAAAAGAAGGGAAACCTATACAAAATTTGTGAAGGTTTCCCTTCCTTTCCTTTTCCTATTTTTTCCTTCAAATCAAACATAACCTAAATTCACCGTATTTATTTGCAAAGGTAAATGACTTGTTATCATTTCCTTTTTGTCTTGGTTCAACTAACTTAAACTCTTTTCAAAATTTATGTAATAATTATTTGGAAGGAAATAATGCAATTCCGAAGGATATATTCAAGAGGCAGGAGAACAGTAATACCAGATCAAGGTCTCCCGTATCCCATATTGTCATCTAAGATATGCCTCACAGCCTCAACATCAAGAGAAACACAAATTATCAAAAAATGAATAATTAGAATAAATGAAATAGAAGATATTAATGCACTACTGGAAAAACGATTCTCTAAACCCAAGATTTTATCAGAAACTTCTTTTCCCCTCCACCAATACAGGCACACAAAGAGAGAGAACCTGAGATTTTATCAGAACCAATGAGGGCGCTAGTTCTATCAGATTCAAAGATGTCGTACGTGAAATCGAGAGAGAGAGATGTCTGTATCATGAAAATGAAATATAAATTACATAGTAATAAAGATTTGTAGCATGAAAACAAGTAAAGATGTCTGAATGTGTTATGGACCTCCTCCCGGCGGCGGAGGTGATTAGAGAAAGCCGGTCAATAATTATTTTATTCAGGCCATTGTAACGACCTGACAATTCATAACGACATAATCAGAGTATATTCTCCTCAGGTGGGCTGAGCTGTGAAGCCGTTACTCTCAGTCTTAGAGTACGCGGAGGAATTCCCAGGTGCAGCATCCACGTGCATGCCCATGCATGGGTCTGGTTCTGCTCTTGGTTCAAAGATGGGCTGGGCCGCTGTTCCATAGGGAAGCTGTATCAATCATCCCTCCCCCGTTGATTAAGGCCTTGTCCTCAAGGCGAGCCCCGGAAAATAGGGACTGAAGGCTCTCCTAGTCCTTCCACGTAGCATCTATAGTCAATAGGCCTTTCATATGGGCGTTGGCCCCAAAGTCTATAATTCATGGTGGGTTAAAGGAGGTGGAATAACCAAGTGGGTTAAAGGAGGTGGAATAACCAATGTCTTGGCATATGGATTAGATAGATTACTAAGTTTAGAATCAGATGAGGAGGATGCACCACCCTTCTATAGCTGCAACAATATATTCCTGAGTTTGTTTATTACATAAGAGGAGTTAAGCACATCTGAAGGTTGAGCATCATTACCACTGTAGCCAAGTGAACATTGCCCTTCTTCCCGGTTTTGTACTTTTCTGGTTTTAGATGAGGATTGAGCTTCCAATCTTGGCTTCTTGTAGTACTCACAAATAATATCCTCGACCTTCTCTGCAATCGGATATTTGCTAGTATTTTGCTTGAGTCGAGATGACATAAGGGCAGAATGATCACTCACAAAGGATTGCATCATGGCGGTTCTTTGGCTTTCTTCCCCTTGTACAAGAGAGTAAGTAGTAGCAAGAGAAACAATGTCTGCACTAAGAATGTGTTGCCTGGTGAAATCAAGCTCTGGGTTTAAGCTAGCCAAAAAATCAAAGACTATCTTCTCCTCTACGTACTTCCGATATTGCTTACCGTCTTCAGGGTCCTTCCAAACTAGAGCTTTCAAGTGATCAATTTCTTCCCAGATAGATTGTAGAGAAGAGAAATACATAGCAACAGATCTCTCCCCCTGACGCATACTACAAGCTTCCCTCTGAAGTTGATACACTCTAGTAGTATTATTAACTTGGGAGTAAGTAGCAACTACCCCATCCTAGATATCCTTGGTAGATGGAAGAAACATGTAATTTCGGGTAATGTGAGGTTGCATTGAGAAAATCAATCATGACATAACAAGGGAGTTGTCTTGTTCCCACCTTGCCAATTTCGGGTCTTCAGGACTCGGCTTCACTTCCCTTTCTATGATGAATCCCAGTTTATCCCTCCTACTAATGGTAAGTTTAGCAGACCAAGACCACTCTAAAAAATTAGTTCCATCCAGTTTAACAGTAGTTACCATACCACTAGAAATATCTGTAGTTTCTGGGAGCACACCGGGAACCATCTTAAATTCCTTAGGTGATTCCATATTCTAACAAGACACCTTTTTACCAACCAAAAAGGAACCCCAACACTTTAACTAAGGTTCCTGACCCCAAAACAAGGTTACCCCATAGTTAAGAACCAAAGTAAGACCTAAAAAACTAGGTTGACGACAAAATAGAGGGAGAAAAAAATCTCCCAAAAATCACATAGTGCTTAGAAAATTACGGGACCACTTCCCGTCAATCCCAAATTAAAAATCGACCTAAATGGTCTAGATTTTACAACAAAAAAATTATTAAACCTATTGTACATGGCTCGACATCAGATATGGAATTTCTGTAATTTTTTCCTTGAAAAATCCACCAAAAATCATAGAAGCTTCATACAACGACAAGAGTCATACAAATTTTTTTTTCTAAAATCAGGGCGAATCAAACTGTGCTGGTTTCATAGACTGTTGTCGATACCTGTACGGACTGCTGACATCATCCGACAGCTATTTCACATCAACAGTTCACCTCTGGGTAGGAGATCAGTAGAGAACTAACTCCCAGATGCTTCTACTCGCTCTAATACCAAGTTGCAGAAAC